GAAAAGAAGATTAATAAAAACAATAATGTGAATGTATGAAAAATGCAACTTCACAGATTTTCATAAACACAGTAACTATCACATATTGAAATATGAAAATTTCAAACATCTTGAGTGTTTCAGTTAAATGAAAGAAAATAGTCATAATAATTATTTCAAAATATGAGTTTGTGAGTTGATTCACCAAATTTGAATTTTTTAAATATGATAAACAGGGTTGTATACATGTAGCTAAAAATTAATACCAGTTTTTTTAATATCACTTACTTTTAACAAAACTATTTGATACATTTATGATCTCTAGTTGCATTGACCTACTCATAACTTCTGTTTTTAACACCCAGTCTGTGAGTTAACAAGACTTAATTTAGGGGATTGTGTGGACTACGGAAGGGTGTCACAATTTCATATATTTAAGTTAGAACCCCCAAAAACATTTTCTCTGATAAAGGTCTTGATTTTTTAACCTGAAAAAAAAATTACTGCTAATAAAAGAACTCAATAGCATTGGCCCATGAGGATGTGGAGTTTAGTGAGTTGGCTGGACTATGTTCCTTTTGCTCAAAATAGCAGGAGTTTTCATGTTCAGCTTAAAAAAAAAATTTTGATGAAAGATGTGAACTTTCTTTACAAATTGGAAGATTCTAACTATTAATTTAAATGTTATAATTGTTAGTTGTTTTGTTTTTAATGCAATACATTTACACTAACTTGTATACCTAACATGTTTCATCTGTGTAATTAAGAGTAACTCAAGCCCTAGAAAGCGGATGCTTATGGCAGAGGAACAAATGCATGCCAGACATCGAATGTCCTGGATTCTAGGCTTGCCTGGGAATTATATACATTATACCATGATAAATTAAAGAAAAATAAGGATTGATAAGTTGTCGTTGTATTGTGCACAAAACAGTTGAACCAAAGTTAGAATCATGTGATACAGTATCGCTAGTAAAATACGTCCTTTACTCCCGAAGAAGAACGGACCGCTATCGAATGTGTTAGTGATTATTCATTGGGTTTTTGATATGATCGGCATAATATGCAAGAAAACTTAACAAAAGTGTTAAAACGGTAAAAAGAAAACTACAAAAAAAGTTGTAGGAGACTTTCGAAAACGATTAAAAATGAGAAAGATTTATTAATCTCTTCAGTTTAAGAGCAGAAGTAAAAAAATAAAATAGAGTTTGCTGAGAGCATAAGCTTTCTTTAACACGTTTGTTTCACTGAAAGTTTCCAGCTTTCACCCTAAAGTGTCAAAGAGTTTATACTGTTACGTCTCCGTTTGTTAATTGATTTTCCGTAACTTCGTTCCGACGAAACTTAAGCGACACAAGTCTTTACTTAATAAAACTGGTTTATTCTTTCCGAATATAACTCTGCGATACACTTAATCTCAATACTCGCGCTAAAACAAATACTATAACGAACGACCGTTAACTTCAACAATACCCCGTGACTGCAGTTCAATTACTCACTGTCTATGCACACATTACAATCCCCTCTCTTATATACCCGCCTACCCTAGCTAGTAAGTACTAGAGCATTCATGAAAAAACAAGATAGTTCTAGAAAATAGAGGGCGCCACACCAGTCACGTGACCTCGATGACGCAACAATACTATACAGCAGTCTCTAGACAAATAACTTAGATTTCACAAACTATTGATTTTTCTAATCCAACATCTTCCGAGTTTTATATGTATTAGCAGTTTCCTCCTGACATATCAAAAGTATGTAAATTTTGTATGTTTATGTTTCATCTCAGGCCTAAAGTTAATGGTTTCTTGTAGTTAACTTGCCTAATTAAAAAATTTTTAGGGGAAAATGGTCTAAAAACAACTGACTAACGCACAAAATTCATAGCAAAAACCAGACATTTCCATAGTGACGGTCGCCTTCGTTGTTTCTGTTTGTTTTGTACGAAATGATTATGTAAGGCTGATGTTAAATTTCTGTTTAGGTTAATTACAGCAAATTTTAAATGTTTCATTTTGCGTATTAAAGGGTGATTGATATAAGTTAACGACCATGTGCGTTTTAAAGCAGTTATTCTTTGAATAATATTACAATATTAATATTTAAAACTTTTTAATTTGCAGCTATCATAAAAAAAAATAACTTAAGAACTGTGTTCAGTAACACTAGTAACTGTTTGGTATTTGAAACACATCTACACCAGAGAAAGTGACAGTCACTAATAACAAGTGCATGAATGACCTACTTCCAGGACCACCTGTTGTTTGTTACATGCGCAAAGCACAAGTCGTTATCGCCTGCGCTACTACGATAGACTTTAGGTTTGAATTGAATTTCGCTATGCATAGTGATAATAGTAAAGAGCAGGAAAAACAACAACGACATAAAAGATGGAATATTTGTATATTTCTAAAGTTTCACTATTATATTTAGCAGATTAATCCAAAAGTTTGAAGTTTCACCTTCTCATTAAAACTTACTAGTCAAGCAGGAAAAACATGTATGGTGTTTTGTGTTGTGTTTTACTCACCAGAGAGAACCTATGTTGTTCAACTGATGAGGGGTGAATTTCCCTGAAGTCGGTAAACTTCAGTGACAACTGGTGAATGGAATATAAAAAAAACGATTTATATGGTAAAAAACAACAAAACGATCATTACATTCAGAGAGATATTTATTTCATTCTTCTGACGCGTCTTGCTACTTACACAGCTCACGCACGATACGCAACAAACTATAAAGTTTTACAAGTGGGTTATAGTCCAAAGAAGAGAATGGAACGAGGCCACGTGAATAATATTGTTTATATTTAAACAAAATAACATTTACAGCAACATTAATGTCTAACGGTACGAGTGTAGGTGTGCAGCCTAAAATTATAGTGAAAATCATTTGAACATTAACGTAAAAATAACTCTGAAGATAAAATAAACATAAAAAAATGTATATAATTAATAGAAGAAAAAAGAACAAAAACAAGGATGAATTTGCGGCATAAATTTCGAAATATGTAAGGCTTCTTTTTATATTTGCTGGCAAGAAATCCACTAGCTGTTACAAAGATTTCTGTCTGCTGTGGCACTGCCACCTATTTTGAGGTGATTCAAGGTATTTTGCGAAGCATTTCTTTTTCTTACAGGTTTTATCTGAAATATATGCAAAACGTATTAACTGTCAACAAAAAAATTTAAGTAACTTTTCTTTCTATTTCTTTATGTCATAAACTGTCAAAGACCCAACACTGTATAATTCACATAAACTTCTCACAGACACGCCACTGTCAAGTTTTTTCAAGAGTTCAACCTTTTCTGCTATAGACAATGTTCGGTGTTTGCGCTTTACATCACAAGAAGCACTTCTATTATTCATTGAAGCCATGATTGGGGCTAAAAATGACCTTCTTACAATAATAAATGTTAAAAATCAAACAGGAAAAGCTTGCCTGTGTTTACAGCTGACTCCAGTTTGTTGATACTGCAAACAGCGCCACCAAATCGTAGCGGCCAGCCAACTTAAAGAAAACGGGGTTTTCTTTAAGTTTTAATCAAAGAAAATATTGGAAAGAAAACTTTCAAACAAGACTAAAGTATTTACCTAATAGCGCGTATCTTGCTTTACTGTATTTGAAATTGTTCTAGCCGAAATTAGTGCCAGATTACTGATTGTACCAGATTACTGATTGCCGGACTAGTGATGGTCAACCTGTATTTTTGAATTTTGCACAAGGCTACATGAGGGCAATCTGGGCTGGCCATCCTTAATTTAGCAGTTACACTAGAGGGAAGGCAGCTAGTCATCACCACCTACTGCCAACTCTTGGGCTACTCTTTTACCAATGAATAGTAGAATTGTCCATCACATTATAATGCCCCCATGGCTGAAAGAGTGAGCATATTTGGTGGGATGGGAATTTGAACCCACAGATTGTGAGCCCAGTGCCCTAACCACCTGGCCTGGCCAGGCCCTTTTTCTTGGCTTTCTGGATTTTTAAATTTCCATTATAATTGCAAATGCAATTACTATAAAACCCTTGAAAAAACTTTAGCAGCATGCTCTGTACTATTTTTCTTTTTTTGAAATGTTGCATCACCAGCTTTCAAAGTTTGTTTGTTGTAAAGCTAAAAACTTTGTGAGTTGTTTGTGCTGTGTCTCACCCATAGGTCAAATCTCCAATCTTAACATATAAACCCTCAAGCTTACTGCTAAGCTAACAGGGACAGTTACTTAAGGAGACATATGCCAAATAATGATTATGTGCTTGTAAACATGGCTCTTGTATAAGTTTTATAGGCCTAAATTCATGTGAATTATCAACTTCAAGTGAATTTCCAATTTTAGCTGTAAAGGGTTTTCTCAGATTACTTTTAGTAGCAAGATGTTTAGCTGCCTTAACTACCTTCAGTGTGTGAATGGTAGCTCATGAATGAGTAGCCTGTTTATCCCAGCTGAAATTGCACCTTCTCTTGCTATGCACAGATTTTGACACTAAAAATGTCTCTTTCATTGAAAAGATGAAATTCTGTGGCTTGCATGCTATCATGATTATTGGTTAGACAAACGTTGCATTACAAAACCTTGTAATGTAACCTCCCAGAGAAGTTCAATTTTATATGACATATACATATGCAAATCACTTCATTTACATTAGGACTGCAACAAGATAGTTAGAGATTTTAATTTGTACTATCAAAGGCTAAGGTTATTAGATATGCAAATGTTTACCAACTAGCTCATGAACAACTCTTCATATGCAATACATGATACTTCATTTTCTAATAAAATAAGAAGCATACTAAATTGCACACAAAAATCAGGTCAATATTTATGACCAACTGAAAACTGTAATTTCAAGCAATATCAACTCTCATTAGTCCAGTTAAGTTAATAAAATGAGATAGTATCCAAATGAACTATATATACTTTTAGATGGTGAAAATGTATTATGCAGGATCATGTTCATGAGATTCTGTGGATCACTTAAACAGTATTAAACATTCAATCACTATACAACTTATGCTTACCAATGAAATATCTTCTGGATCTTTCTCATCTTCCAACCCAAAATAACAACAGCTCATTTTCTTCCCATCTCCTGTATTCTCTTCTTCAAGCAACCCTGTAGTGATACAGAAACCACAGGAGTTACAGTTATCATCATCACTGAAATGGAAGGTTTGCCTTTCCATACATCTTCTACTATAATAAGTTTGTACAACAGGCAGTTAGTATGGTAAGGGCAGGACCAAGCAGCAAACAAGGATGTGGTAGAATACTTTGCTAAGATGGAAGAAAATCAATAAAATCTACCATAAAACTAGACAAGAAAATAATAATGAGAAATTATTGAATTAAACTCATGCAAATTGTCTCCTAAGGATCCAAAGCTATAAAAAGGCAGCAAATATTTTGTCAGAGCTTGCTTGAATGAAATAGTTTTTACACATCTTACAGAAAGTATAAAACTTAGAAAACATATCAAGAAGTAGATCTGTAGCAAACAAAAATCTCTTCTCCACATCTACTGTACAGTGACTACTAATCATAACACATTAAGGATGCTCAGTTTGAATTATGCATTGCATTTTCTAAAACTTTAGCTGAAATTTTTAGTTACAGGCAGTGCTCAAATTGAAGGGGAACAGAAAGGAATACCACTTCCCTTGTTAACAGAAAAAACAAAACAAACTGTCATATGCCTGATTGTGAGAACATACATATGTAAGTAGATTTCAGTAAGTAGATTTTTACAACTTGAGTGCTGTTTACAGGTACATAAAAACTACTTATATCACATATCATATAGCAGGGCTTAAACAAACTAACTTATTTTTAGGTGCTTATCAATCACCTAAATCAAATTTTTTTCAAATCAGAAGCATTTATGGTCAATCTGTATTTCATGTTTCTAATTTACAAATCAAATATGAAGTTTGGGGATTAATATATTAGGTTTACTAACAAAACTAATTTTGTATCATACCAGGAAAAGCTCTGAAACATCAATTGTTTCAATTTAGTGATCTACGTTTAACACAAAATATAAATTTCTATTGGCATGTTCAACTCTAAAATGCAGTATTCACAGGGCAATGCTTGTTTTATCTGATGAGGCATACTTCAAATATACATTAATACAGTCCAGTCACTTCAACTCTCCATTTTTATAAAACAAACATGTTACAAATGAAAGGTCATGTTTGATCTTTGTTAGCTCACTTTTATACATAACCACTCTACTACTCAAACTAAGATGGTGATCATCTAGGAAAGAGCTATAATACTATTGTCAACATAAGTTAATTTTCTTGTCAAATACTGTAGTTATACTGAATAATGCTTTCTAACAGCCACATTATCTATGTACTGTTTATTGCCATCTTCAACAATAAATTTGCATTATTTTCTTAAAGTTGCAGTGTATTATAAAAACCTGCTATAAATATCTCAAAGATAATTATTAAACAAAAAACACAGTCATCTAATTATACGCATGTGTGTTATTTTGTGTGTGTGTGTGTATATATATATATACAAATGGTTATTAATATGTACACTTTTAATTTTTACAATTATATTTATCTCTTTCTCACGCATCTTTACTATTATGCTCAGAATTACTGGGTAAACTCAACACTGTAAAACTTTTTATTTTTCAAAAATTTATTTCTTTATTTTTCATTAAGTACACAAAGTACTAAAAATGTAACGACAGAAATTATGAGGAATATTACCTTTCAATAACAGGTAAAAATATATCTTTAGTTATACACATTCATGTAATTCTTCTAAATTTTTCATGCAGTTGTTCTGCATGTAGTTATAACATTTTAATTAAACCAAATGTTAGAAGGTCATAAACATGTACTAACTTTTATTCAAGTAAATAATACATATGCCAATGGCAGGAAACTGACATCATTCTGGCCCTATATCTGTTCCACTCGGGAGGGATGAGCCCACCTTGGAATAATCAGTGATGTATGCATTGGGTTCTTGTATACTTTACTTTTAATATTTTTGTGTGAATATTGGTAGTAGGTCATAATTCTTTTATCCGTTTCTTGTGTGGACTTCAAAACAAAATAATACTCTTAACCTCTTAACCTTTTATTTGCATTGAGAAGGTTCTGTACTTGAATCCTGGTAGATCCTTCCTACTGAAAACATGGTCTCCAAGATAAGGTAATTACTGTTTCTCACCTACTGTGTTACCTGTTCGAACAAACCTAGATTCTTATTCAGAGGACTGCTTTTTTATATTCTGTCAGAACTATTTGTTGTTATCTCACATGCATTGAATCATTCATGGGGTCTCAAAAAAGGTTGTTAATACCTTATGGTGAGGCATGCTCTTCAAATTTTTATCTAACAACATTATCAGTTGCATTGTCTTATTTTTCATGATGTCCCCAATCATCTAAGTGTGCTTTTCGTCATGTATCTTTCTACCAAATTCAACATTTGAAAATGTCTTTAACATCCAAAACACAGTACCCATTGGATGGCATTTTGCAGGCCATTATGTAGACAAATACAAATACATTTTACACTTTTACTTATATCATATTGTTGTCTCTTCAGCTTCTTCAGGATTCTGTTTGCCCTTGTTATGACACTCCAAACCAGTTAGAATCCTTAACAAGTGAGTTCAGTTACAATCCTAAAAAAACAATCACAGTCTCTCTTTCATAACACGAGATTCTGTATTTGGGTGGTTTCATTCAGACAAGACTTATTATGTTTTCTTTTACATCTGCAAATGTCCTAGACACTATTCTACCCTTTGTGCTTGGACTATGTGAGAAGGTGATGCTCTCTGGAAGTGTACAAAAGATCCCATCAGGTAACATTCCCACCTTTGTGCACATGTCCTTACGTAGCATTCAGCTATTCAAGCCATGATGACAATTTTTGAATTGATGTCTCATAACTCCAACCTACATGGGGTACACCACACAACTTCATTTTTATGTTCTCTTACTTCCTTACGCTGTCTTCCTATTGCACTTTCCTCGAGTTGTTGAAGTCATCTTCAGAACCACTTGATGACTAGACAATTATTTATATACAGAGACATCTCAAAAGTAAATAGACACCATGATTTTTTTCAATAGTCATTTATCTCACATTATCAACTTGACAAAAATGTTTACAAATGTGCATCAGTACTTAGTTGATTTGCCATTAGCATTTTTCATTGCTTTGACTCATTCTGGCATGGAATCGATGAGTTCTGCAATTTTCTCCTGTAGGATCTTGATTCAGGCTATACGCAAAACATCAAGTAGCTCTCCACGGGATGCTGGTTTTCTTGAACTTCTTCTCACTGCTCGAGCATGTATGGCCCAGACATGCTCAATGGAGTTCATATCAGGTGACTGACTTGGCCATGGGAGCCGTTGGATGCCTTTCTTAATTAAATGA